CTACAGTTTTATGCTGATAGAACATGGATTGTAAAGTCTAACAATATAGAATATCTTACTGGTAAAATGATAAGTCTCGTCCCAAGACATGTTGATCTTAATGGTATCAACACTAATTATATTCTTGTACCTGCTATATATGTGACTATTTGTTTACTTCAAGATTCTGACAGGAAATACTGACAGGAACTCAGAGGGAAAGCATGTTGTTTATGGTATATTAACAAGATTTTTACGATTCCTGCCACGAACGAGCCAGGGTGGGATGTGTATGAGAACAGAGGTATTTGGAGTGAAAAAAAACCCAAGTGAGTTTGAAGCTTTAATGTATTTTTGCATGTCTGCTTTTATTAAGTTATTATTATTATCATCATTATTATTATTATCATATTGCAGGGTAATCTAAGATACTCTTTTTATCTGTACACAAGTTTTCTAAACCATTTCAGAGGAGAATAGCTGATAGAAAAGGGCTGAATTTGAATTTATTGTTTGGTGCTCAAAAAGTCATCATGGACTTTTAAAAAAATCTGTTAATCTTTAATTTGTAGACCAATTGTACTTTTTGTGAAGTGAATAATGCAAATTAATGGCTTTAAAGTATCGGTACCTCACCCAGACAAGTGCAAAGCAATGATCATGTAATGGCAACCATTTACTGGACCGTTCGTTTTTAAATGCAATAAAGGCTATACCGCCCCACAATGCAAGGGTGTATTTGTACAGAGGAATTCAAGCCGCAAAAACAGAAGAAATGATGATACCATCCTTTCAAGAGCCATACAGTACAAAGGAGCAACAGCTTGGAACAGTCTCTCTAGCAAGGAATCAACAGCTGAAAACTTAAAGAATTAAAGCTTTTATTAACTAAATTTGACATTGGCAAAATAAATTTTGGTTCTACTGCAGCCGTCATCAAACACAAGGACAATAGTTTGTTACGCGTCCCATGGCGCATGCATGAGACCGCAGACCTAATATGATTACAATTTGCATGGCACTATGAAGGCTGATTTAAATTATTACCTTGCAGCTTGTGAAATGGAGGCCATTGGTTTGGCGTTTGGTGGTACAATTCCAGATAGCAGCTTTTCTGCCTCATCGCATTATGATCATAGGTATAAACCCTCTAATGGTCGACTTAATGGAAATAGCCGGGGTTGGGGACCCAAAACTGAGTTCGATCCTGCTGACTACCTCCAAATTGACTTTCTGTATGAGTATGTTATCTGTGCTGTTGCTACCCAAGGAGCTAATGGTATCAATGAGTGGACAAAAAAATACGAGATTCAGTTATCAGTGGATGGTACCACTATGGTTACCTACCAAGAAAACAATGCAGACAGGGTAAGTTTATATAAAAGTCATGTGAATATTCATGTAAGTTACAAAAAAGCCAATAGTATATAGGTCCTAGAACACTGTCTCAATTTTTTGAGTCAAGTGGAGGGAGGTAAAAGAAGTGTGTACCTGGTCAAGGCTCAGTCTTGTTGTTTAATAAAGTATGTAATCTATAGCAAAGAAAATAAAAAGATTGTGTGAAAGGGCTTTCGAAAAATCTTATTTTTCGGTGTTTGTCCAACCAGTGGTTTTCATACTATAATCTCTCTCGAACTACATGTACCTCTCCTTTAGACTATTCACCAGAAATGGTATACAGGGTCAGATACCGGTGTTTTTGAGTTAGTTTTGTAACAACAGAAACTAGGTCTTTCAATAGCTATTAGAGACGTGTAAGTAACTGATACTTAATAGTGGTCAATGAAGCAGTACAATCAAGAGTATGTTGACACAATTATTTCACATTTTGTACCACAAACTACAGGTCTTTCTCGGAAACTCAAATCAAAATAGCGTCGTAAAAAACAGTCTCCAGGAATTTGCAAGTGCAAAGTTTATCCGTTTTAAGCCAACGGCATACAATAACTTTAAAGCTCTGAGAGTGGAAGTTTATGGAATACTTCTAACAAAAGGTATTTATTTGCACTTGTTTTTATCTCCCCCTGAGACAAAAATGAAGTCACATTATTCAAATTATTTGTGGAAGACAAGCCTAGGTAATTGTGCAGAGCTAGCTAACGGCGAGTTATAAACTATCCAATATTGATAGAGCCTTGTAATTGGTCGGGTGAAAATTTTTTTAAAAATAACTTTAAATTCATAGCTGACCATAAGAGATGAGAGAAAATGAAAATCAATAAATTTAGGTTTTTTTAAAAGACTTAGATATCGTTTTAAAATTCTTGAATCCATTCTGCTCAGATCCTTCAGGTTCTCTTTCTGTTAAATTGCTTAGATTATTATTTGTGCTTGATATGAAACAGTGTGTGATGTGATTGTAGCATTGTACATTGTAGATTATGGAGCCCAGTGGGTTTCCATTACAACAGCATCATTTCTCTCCTTTTATGTATAGCACATCTTCACACTCGGGATACAAATAATGTATATTTAATGCATGTGCACAGTCCCATGATCCTTCTCTTTGATCCGAGGAACATCTAAGGCTCTGTAAGGTCATGAGGGTGATTTAATTTACATTCATATCACTAAATCAACTAAAAATTATAACAAGCAACTGATGTTGTTCATTTCAGTTCCATCACAACCTCCGGCAGCCTTCAAGTTAACTGCAAGCTCTTCTACCAGCATCACAGCTTCCTGGCAGTTGCCACCAGTCTTTGCCAGACATGGAAGAAACATTACAGGGTTTAAACTGTTCTACAAAAAGAAAGGTTCTGGTGGATCAGCAACAACCTTGACTATTAGCAAGGGATCGACATTAAGTAGAAATGTCACCTGGCTTGATAAGTACACAGAGTACGAATTTAAAGTGTTGGCCTTCACCTCTGATGGTGATGGACCAAAGAGCGCTGTTGAGGTGGAGAGAACAAAGGAAGATGGTATGTGATATGAAGGCGAAAGAGAAAAGATTATCACAATTTTTTTATGAATAATAAATTGATTGGAACTGTTGATAAAA